GCAGTGAGCTACAGCATGCTTCCTCCTCCTCCTGCACTTGCTTCTCCTCCTCCTCCTCCTCCTGCACTTGCTTCTCCTCCTCCTCCTCCTGCACGTCCTTCTCCTCCTCCTCCTCCTCCTCCTCCTGCACGTCCTTCTCCTCCTCCTCCTGCACTTGCTTCTCCTCTTCCTCTTCCTCTTCCTCTTCCTTTTCTTGTTGCGTCTCCTCGTCCTTGTCCTCTTCCTCTTGCGTCTCCTCGTCCCCCCTTTTGCTCCTCCTCCATTTCCTCCAATCCCTCTCCCCACCCTCTTGCTATTTGTCCTTGTTCCCAATATGCTCTTCCTCCACATCTCCCGTTTGACCCTTTCCATCTGCTTCTTGTCCTCTTCCTGGCTTCCTTCATCTTCATCCTCCTCGTCCTCGTCCTCGTTTTTGCGATTGCCGCCCTCCTCCTCCTCCTCCTCCTCCTCCTCCTCCTCCTTCTCCTCGTCTCCTGATCTCCGAGTGCAGGGAGGAGGAAGGACAGAGCCACAGGGAAGAGGAGGAGAGGACCTTACGGCCTGATGATGCGCGGGTCATAGTTCAACTTCTCTCATGTACAGCAAACAAACATATGCCAAGTCCTGCTCCTGCTCCTGCTCCTGCTCCTGCTCCTGCTCGTGCTCCTGCTTTTGCTTTTGCTCCTGCTCCTGCTCCTGCTCCTGCTCCTGCTCCTGCCCCTGCTCGTGCTCGTGCTCGTGCTCGTGCTCGTGCTCGTGCTCGTGCTCGTGCTCGTGCTCCTTGTGCTCTAATTCTCGTGTCGCCGACCCCTCACTCCCCCTCCTCTTCTCCTTCCTCTTCACCCTGCTGTCCGAGGTCAGACCTTCTCCCTCTCCCCCTGCTTCCTTCATCTGTCCATCTCTCCTCGCGTCCTCCTTGCTTCAGATTCCCATCTTCCGCAGGTCTGCTCGAAGTTCTGTCAGACTCTCTCTCGTCATCTCCTCCGCCGCACGCAGGAAGTGACTGGAGCTCGGAGCTCCCAGGATCTTGGCGACAGAGGACAGAGCAGCAGGAGACAGCTTCTTCACCGCCTCCTTCACGCTCTTGACCTCTTCCTCCTTCGCCTCGTCCGCTTGGCTCCTTCCTCTTGGAGCAAGCACATCCCGCAAGAAGGTCGACGCCTCCTTGCTCGCCCTCCCGTCCGCCATGAAACTTCCCTCCTCCTCTTGTCGCAGAGCAGCTTCAGCAGAGGTTACCGCGCTCCTCCTCTGCTCAGCGTCGTAGTACCAGACGGTGAGGGAGTGGCGGAAGTTGCGAGTAGGACGAACTTCGTGCGGGATCGTATCAGCAAAGACATAGCGACTCGTCCACAAAGAGGGAAGTAGTCTGCATACCACCTGCTCCCTCCACCCTCCTCCTCTTCCTCCTCCTCCTCCCTCCCCTGCCCCCGTTTCTCCTTGTGGATACGGAGGGCCCCCCCGAACTCCTCCTCCCACTCAGTGTTGAGGTAGCAGAGGCAGGTGAGCACGCGGCCATCGCATGCCGTGTTGTCGATGTGCGTCTGAAACCGCGTGTCCTTCCCCGGGTAGACTGCGAGCATGGCGTCGCTCCTCTCCACCACATGCTGCATCCTCTTTACCTTGTGCTTCAGGTGCTCCAGCACCATCCGGTCAAGCAACTTGAGGATTTTCTTGATAGACATGAACTGAAGTGACGAGGAGGAGGAGGAGGAGGAGGAGGAGGAGGAGGAGGAGGAGACCCTGGCAGACCCTCCCTGCGACAGCTTCGACTTGATCTTAGTGCTGCAAGGCTCCACCATCCCCCTCGTCTTCGGCTGCTCTCCAGCAGAGTCGAACATCGCCACGTCCCCCTGCTGGGCGTCTGGTGGGCCCCGCACATCCAGAGCACGCGATCCCCGCGCACGTCAGGCACTTGAATCTGAGCCCCAGCAGCCGCATCCTTCCCCACCCAGATCTCAGAGGCCTCGAAGTGGGGTACTAGCGCTGCCATTTCCCTCCTCGCCTGCCTCACCAGCTCGAGCGGGATGAAGTTGTCGCACACCGCAAACCCTCCCCTGCTCAGGCTCTCCGCCACCTCCTGCATCCTCGGGCCCAGCGCCGCCTTGGCTGCCCTCCGGTCGTTCTTCTTTGCGCCCTCCTCCATCAGGAGCGCGTCGTGCACGCCCTTGAAGTCGATCGACTCTCCTCTCCTCGTCTCTGCCCCGTCGATCTGCTCCCTTGCAGGAGCGTCGCTGAGGAACGCGGGAGAGTGAGCGTGAGTGGACGAGAGGACCCCGATGAGCCCAGGAGCGCTCCTGCGCTCCCTTCCTGCCATACCCTCTGCCATACCCTCCTCCTTCCTCCTTCCTCCTCCGCTCCTCCTCGACTGCCTGATCTGCTCTGTCCTCGCCGACGCTATCGTGAGCAGGTTCTCCTTCACCTTGTCCGGCAAGTTGCCCTCCGGCGGTTCGAGGTATCGCACTGACTGCACGCAGAGCTCTCTCACTATCTCTGCCTGCTCTGCGCACAACCCTCTGACTCCTTCCTCCAGCGCCTCTCCCTTAGGCCTCTGCTGCCCAGTACTTTGAGCCAGCGCCAGTGCCTTGAGCACCTTCAAGATCCGATTCAGAAGATCCTCCCCATCGAGGATCGGCAGATCCGCATCCCCTCCAGCTGTTGATCCTCCTCCTCCTGCTCCTGCTTCTCCTCCTCCTCCTCCCTCTGCCTCTTCCTGTCTCCTTCCCATTCGATCAGTCCTGCTCTTGTCATTCCCCGTCTCCTTCTGCACGGTCCCCTCCCTTGCAACTCCAGCCTTAGCATTCTGCCGGATGTAGTCGGCTATAGCAAGGACCGCCTCCTCGTTGTCGATTGAGAACCTGCGACAGAAATCTTGTGCAAGCTCGAGCGGATCAGCTCCATCCTGGACCCGAATGTCGCCGTACTTGCCACCGCCGAGCTCGATCCTCAAGATGACGCTCTTCGGCCTGCTCTCTCTCTTCTGCGGAAGCTCAGCGGGTACATCATGAGCGGGGCCGTCCTCCACAGCTCTCTCTCCTGCCTTGGAGCTCATGCTTTCCTCGATCCTCTCCTGCCCCCGGTGCTTCTCCTCCCCACCCTCGCTCTCAACCTCATTCCTGCTTGCAGCGTCCCCGCCCCCCTCCACCTCTTGTCGAGGTGTGTCCATCCTTTGGTTGGGAGGAGAAATGAACGATACATGGATCTCCAGCGTCTTCTTCTTCCTCCTCCACTTGGCCCTGACTCCGTCAGGGTCTGCTGCCAGGGGCAGGGGTACCTGAAGCTCATACAGCCCTTTCACAGAGAGTCGCAGAGTCTTCTCGCAGACGGCAAGCTCGACGTCTTCCATCGTCTCCACGGCCTCAAGCTCAACTTCTACTCGTCCCTTCCTCTCTCCTCCCTCCCCTCCCTCCTCCTCATAACGCCATGCTGGCACCGCCGGTGACATGGTGCTCCGAGTCCCAGGCTCCCGGGGCCCGGCCGGGCCGCCCGCCTGACCGGGGCAGGTGCCCCGGCGGGGTCCAGGCCCTGAGGGGCCACGCCCGGGGCGGCGCCGCCGCTGCGGCCGGCCCGCGGGCCGGGCCGGCCGGCGGTCGCCGCCGCTACGGTCACGGACCGTCGGACCCGGCTCGGCCCAACTCCGAGTCCCTCGGCGGCCGAACTTCACGCGGCGCGGTGACGGTGTGACTCGCCTCGGCAGTGCCCGCCCGGCCGCAGCCTTACTGGGTCGGAGGCTGAGTCCCGGCCGGGCTGCCGCGGACTCTGCCGGCAGGCTGCGGCCGCCATGCCATCATGATGATCGACTTCAGTGCGGCCGATCACCTGCCAGTGCCGCCGCGCGGCCGGTTCGGTCCGACGCGCGTCCGATCCGACCGTCCGATCCGGCCACTGAGTGAGGCCTGCCGCCGCCGAGCGGCACCCTCCGTACTTACGGTACGGTATACTATCACGAACCGCCGCGAGTGAACCGTTGCCAGTGAACTTGAACGGTGGCCCGCCGGCTTCTCAACCCTCAGACACTGAGTGTTTCGTGCCTGCGTCTTGAACAAACCCATGACCCTTGATGAAATCTTCTCGGACCTTAGAACGTAAGTCGCTCTCGTGGCTGATGGAGACGAGTCTGACGGGTTGATCTCTGCTCTTCCTCGCTGCGACTGTGCGCTCGTCTCGTCGGCAAGGGTCAATGTCGTAGCCCGCGCGAGGCTGGCCGGGCCTCGTCGCCTCGACACCAAGCTGCTGGCGTCCAGGCTGAGAAACTCCCAGTACGGGGGAGATCTCACCAACGCTCGCTCAGTGACCCTGCGCTTCACGCTCCACTCCACCGTCGTCAAGGTGTACGAGAGCAGCCCAGGGAAGATGATGAAGACGAGGAGGACATGCAGCAAGAAGAGCAAGGCGGAAGGAGACGGGAGACTAACTCTTTACTTCCAACACACAACACGCACATCCCACATGCCTTCCACCGTTTGCCTTTCTTCCTGCAGTACTGCCGCGGTACGGTAGGCGCGCAAGGTCGACTCGGAGCAACCCGATGCAAGGCGAGGGACAATGATACCCTACCGTCCCAGTCACGGCCTTGGCTTTCCGGTCGAATTCGTTTTGATTTTTCGGAAAAAATCAGCTTCCAGGGTCTCTCCCGCATTTGCCGACACGATGTCGAAATAGTCTATATTCTTCTCGAAAAACTTTGCAACCTCACTGAAAAATCTGATGTGCAATTCGTCTGCATCTGAAGGTAGAAACACATAATTTCCCGGTGACCCGTGTATCATTTCAGAAAGCTGCCCATAAAGCATCATTTTTGGATCAAACGTGGGTATCACAAGGTCCTGCGGTAACCCGATCCTTTCCCACACTTTCCGTCGAAACTCTGCGTGCTCATTATCCGTCAAGAGCCGATTTACGTCAGTCATAGAAATCTTTCCGTTCTGCATCGCGTTGAGGTCCGACTTCGACAACATAGATGGAATCGCACCATCCTTGCTATATCGAACAATTTGCACCACTTTCCTGAACAGCGCCTCAAGGACATACCTGCGTCACGGTAATCAATATCATTTCGCATATTTCAATCAAGCCTGATGCACACCTTTGAGTGAGGGTAGACAGCTGACGCTTGTAGAAATTAACAAGGTGCTCCATGTCCTTCTTCATGTCCTTCTGCTGCTGCTCCATGTCCTTCTTCATGTCCTTCTGCTGCTGCTCCATGTCCTTCTTCATGTCCTTCTGCTGCTGCTCCATGTCCTTCTTCTGCAGCTCCATGTCCTTCTGCTGCTGCTCCATGTCCTTCTTCTGCAGCTCCATGTCCTTCTTCTGCAGCTCCATGTCCTTCTTCTGCAGCTCCATGTCCTTCTCCATGTCCTTCTTCTGCAGCTCCATGTCCTTCTTCTGCAGCTCCATTGCAATTACATACACATTCGAGGTCGCATTCGCAGCATCAGCCCCCAGCATCTTGCACACCTGATCGAGATATGCATTCCCAGAGCTTGTGGCTGAGATCCGTACCCGCCCGCGAGCGGCTGAGACGATTGGGAGTATTCTGAGTGAGGGCCTAGGACCTAAGCCCATCCTCGTAGCTGACAAGGCAGACCAGCGGGACCGCGATGCTAGTAAGTTGACGTGACTCTGAGACGATTTCAATACCGGCGGGATACCGAAGCCATCACAAGGGGCAACCACAGCTGCAAACCAAGAAAGGGCCAGGCTTAGAACCAAACATCTTGTAGGATTCATTCCAAGTGTGCCGATGTGCTTAACTCAGGATCTGCTGGAGGGAATGGGTGCTTCTTGTAGGCAACCAAGAACAGGGATGAGCAAATATAGGGGGGGAAGGGAGGGGGTGAGGGGGTGAGAGAGTGATTGCCAGTAGGGTAGGATGGACCCCACCCCCATCGCTGAAGCGGTTCTTCCTCCCATAGGGGTACTTGGTAACTAAAATAATCACCCCCCTTTTTAAATTCAAGTTAGAGTTGTATTTTCAATGTTTTATCGCATTTATTTCCAATTTGTCATTGAACAAAATAGTATCCTTTGAACTTTTTTGGGGGAACTAGTGGCTAAGTGACACATGGGTCGAATTCGGCCCACGGCTTTTTGCCCCTCATACAGCACCCTTTGTGCGCTGGTCTCAACGAAAAAATGGCAGGGAAGGATAGAAGAGGACAAGCGCTTTCAGGGGCTGCAAACGCCATTCTGTTTCATGCATCCGTTGAGATTCTACAAGCTTCCAAAGTGAAGGCTTTCCAACAAAATTGCATGTTTTGTTCATGATCGTTGAAATTTCCATCCAATTATTCTGTGTTGCTGTTGCGTCCGCGGTGCGCGATTTCGCTTGATTCTTTCGTAATAGTTCAGATAGAAGACCATCCTGACTAGTCAAGATCAGTTTTCAATCTTTCGGCTGATTTCAATAACTCAATTTCCACTGAAATGACGAAAATTACAGAATACGACAATTTTGAGGTTTGTAAGTTGTGGCATTCACATGTGATGATCTCCGTGAAGCTGGAAATATTATAGATTGCTTCCTATACATGACAGGCAACCGTTGCATTCGAAATGAGCACCAAAGTTGCCTCAGTTGCGAGGCCAATGCGTCGAATACATATTGGGATGAATTTCGTTGGAATGACGTGTGCCTGAAGAATTCTTCGTGGTACATCCACTTCGAGACATGGAAACATCGCTGAACAGTAGTGAACCCTATTGACCAACATATCCATTAACAATACAAAGCGTATTCAAGCTGGATCTTCGCATGTCTGTGTTTTTTTTCCATAATTTTCTTCGTGCCGTATTTCAAGTTTGGTATTCTGATAGAAATTGCACGCGGAAGAACATGGTCTACGAAGTCGTTCTCTTCTGGGTTAAGGAATGGTCACAATTCCACATCTTTACATGTATCTTGCATAGTTCATGCATAGAGTTTTGAGTACTTGATGGGCCCTGATGACAGTTGCTTCATTACTACTCATCCGAAGCCACCACTCATCAGACGGATGTTGGAGCTGGCTGTTTCATGTCTGTTTCACGCAAGTAGCGCCTCAAACTGTTTCCACGTGAAATGTTCTTCGTAATCGCATGTTATTCGTCTTCATTAGTCACTTTTTCTAGCATTTCGTTGGAGAAAACTGTGAAAAAATGGTTCGTCGATTGTGTCGTTCAGAAATATTTTTCACATTTTTTCCTTCCAAACAGGGTAAAACATCACCTAGAACGTTTAAGAATCATCGTGCAGGGGAAAATAATCCTGCTGAGTGTTGGAGAAAGGCCTAAAGACTCATTTGCAAAGTGAACAGACACGGTATGAATCGCTATGCACCAGCACGAGAGAAACATGTGAGTACAAGATTGACGCCGGAACAGATGATTTGAAGACACCACAGCACAAGATCTCGTCATCCTTATGTGATCACGAGACGCAGGACATGCTGAAAGACTGACATGAGATTGCTCACAGCTTCAAGATGTGCGGATAACAGTGGGAGATGTCATATTCCATGCGGAGTGGTTGTCTGCATCAACTTCAATTTCACAGTTGAGGAGGTGAATTAATGGCAAAGAAGCTGCTCTGAGAAAGAAAAGGGACTTGGATGTGATGAATATCATCAAGATGCACGATGGAAGTGAAGAGTTACAAGGTTTAGTGTAGGTATGAAGGAGATGGTAAGGAAAGTGATTGGGATACCTCATACCGAGACGGTAGGTACCGAAATGTTGATAAGCACTGAAACAATTTCAAGCGTGGAAGGGGCCTATCTCGACTGAGAAGCAAGACAATCACTCAGAGACATGCAGGTGAATCAGGAGAACCCATTGCAATATCGCAGCAGGCAAGAGGATGTGAGGAGTTGTGTAGATTCTTGATTCCGTCCACGGTTTTACGACGGAAATGATTTCGCGGAGTGAGCATTCCAAAAATGTTGAGGTCTTTAACTCGAGGGAGACCAGAGTAGCGTGAACGATAAGACCAGTGATGGATGGAATACTCATTCTCCAAACCTGTAATCAAGTAATGAACGTCCTCCACTGCGACAGTTGGGTTTTAAAGAAGACCTAATGACAAAGACACAATTTCGCTCATATCATATTCTGTACATTTGTATTAGAAACTCTTTCCAATTAAGTTGTTGAATCAAGATAGATAGTATGATACATAACTCAATGAACATTTTCCTTTGTCTCTGTGATTTTGTACGCAACAGATCGATGAATTTATCGCTAACAACAGCATGTTGGCGTTATGACATACAGTGAAAATTGAACAGAAACTCATAAATATCATGAAATCCTTTACAGTCTGCAACATGAATGAGTATTACAACAGTTTACTTTCATATGATGCAGAAAAATATGTTCTCATGATTCATGAAGTGCACCAATGACCCTCCTCATGGAGCATGGCGGCGCGCCATTTCCCGGGAAGGCCAGTACCCCCACCCAGCAATGGCAAGTAAACACCCTATCTTTGATTTATTCAAAACACCCGTAGTAGGACTACCCCCACCCTTCATTTTCAGGCCCCTCTAAGGCAAAACCATGGCAAAAAGGTGCCGAAGGTTTGTGTCACTTAGCCACTAGCCGTTTCATAGAAACTAGCCGTTACAAATTTTGGCGTTTCATAGAAACGGCTCATGAGCC